TAAAAAAATAGTTTGAAAAAGTCAATACTTTTTGAAATAATGAGTGTTTTATGATAAATCAATCACCCTGTATAAAACTATGTACGTATAATATTCCTTCACGATAACATAATAAAATTGTATTTACTGATAAAATTTTATCATTCTATATACTTGCAAAAACATTTGCAACTGTCTATACCTACAAATCGTATAAGAAAATCATTCGGTCTAAATGTTTTTATCACATTACACCGGCAGTAGTGTAAAAAACCATACAATTCGTTTGATTTAATGCACCAAAGAAATATAATAGGTGAAATAATTATGGTTATATAGTTATAGTGACGGTTTGATTGGTTTTTTGCCCATATAGGTACGCAGTAATGGGGAATGATAATTTGCACGTCAGTGGCGTAAAGATAAGTCACCCATATTATGCTAAAAGTACACTAACGAGCTTATAAATATGTATAATTATTAGTGTTGGCCAACGATATCGATAGTTCGATACGATATCGATATCGTGGTTATTTTTCGAATAATTTCGACACCGATATCCAAAAATAATTATCGAAAATATCGCGGTATCGGCTCAGAACAATAAAGTGGACAGATATTCACTTTTATTACTTTTATCTACTTAGTATCTACTATTATCCAGTAGATTCTACTGGATAATAAATCATAGCATATTGCGAAATATTTCAAAGAAATAGTTACCCAGTTCCCCACACCAAACAATTTACTCTAAATTCAGTGCCGGTTATTAACTCGCGGTGAGACCTCGTAATAATTTTAAATACAATTTATTAAGTAAATAAATACTTAATGAATACTTTTCAGTTAGTACAAAATAATTCATAATTTATAAATAATTTACACTCATAATATATTATTATAATATGCATTATATACTAATATAATTTTAATATGCTTTTATGAAACTAAATAAATTATATAAAATGTAACTTGTTGAAATTATACAAAAATTTTAATTGATATATTGATATCGATATCGGAAAAATAAATACGATATCGAGTATTAAAAATATATCGTTGGTCAACTCTTATAATAATGGTATTTTTTGTACATATTTATAATTTAATTTTTTTTAAACAATTTCTTAAATAAATGTGTATTTAATAACTTGATATACTTACAAACCGTAAACCAAATTCTTTTAAAATAGTTAAGTTTTTCAAATCATCTGCTTCATTATTCGAACAAATGATACACAAAATAGGAAAAAATGTAGAGTCCTATGGTATGATAGAATTTTATATATACCTGGAACAAATAAATAAATACATAAAATAATCAAAAKATATTGAACCAAATGCCTAGTTCTGAACCTAAATGAATTTATAGTCTTCGACTAGTACAAAAATGTTTTGTGTTTAATAGATATATGACTATATGAGCCTTAAACAAACAAACCCTTTTGCACTGGTGTACCGGTTAATACAATTTATTTAAAATGCACTATGATCAAAACATGAGATGAATTTAAAAAAAAAATTGTATCAATGTCGAACTATGTGTAATGATTGTGTTTTTTGTTTTATTTTACTGACAGTATGCGAAATTAGTTTAATAGTAAAGTACACGAAATAGAACATAATAATATTATGTTATATTATAACTCACGTGGATTTCGTACTAGTAAATCATATTACACGTACAACAGTCTAGAATGAAGCTTTAAGAAAAAAAAAACCGTAGAAGTCATTCAGCTGTATAGTAATTGTAGAGTGCACCTTGTCATTGAATAGGTTACAGTAATAGTAATGGATAAGTTAAATATTTGAATTAAATGATAAATCATTGAATACACGGGGCTAGGTAAATTGAGTCCGAGATAAGTTTGGTACATTTTGAAAGCGGTAATTTGAGTCCCAGGGAAAAACGATTTATTGCATTTAAATTTAAAAATGTGCACTATAAAATTTTTATTTGTGATTTGTGGACATTCATTGACTGCATGTATATGATTTTTAAAATAGCAACATGCATTTTTACTGCATAAAAAATAATTATATAATTAATAAAAATGCATGTTGCTATATTCAAAATCATATGCATGCAGTCAATTAATGTCTACAAATCAGAAATAAAAATTTTATAGTGCACA